TCACTGGCTGCATTGCGCAACTGTTTGTTCTGGATAATTCGCTTGCTTCATGATTGTCGTAACGCTTGGAGGTCACATGTGCATTGTACCGTTTCACTTTCCTTAGACTGGACGCACACCGCTCAGTCAAGACAAGAAAGCCTTAGACACTTTCAGTCACTTTAGGTTACATTATCGTTTACAGGGTAAAAATCAGAGGTTAGACAGGAGAAGTTTTTTGTCAAGTTTGGGCGTGTTGAGAATTGGGTTCTGAGCAGACTGGAGGAAACTTCATAATGACGAGCTCCATAATTTTTAAACCTTACAAAATATATTTAGGATGAACATATCAAGAAACATGAAAGGGACGGGACACGTGGCGAATTGAGAGACGATAAAGGCATGTAATATTTTTATTCAAAAGTCAGAAGGAAATGCCCACTTGAAAGACATTGGCGTAAAAGGTGAAGTATTAAACTCTTATTAGAAAATCCGGAGTTTGATTCATCCAACTTGTAATGGGGGGCGGTGACACGCTAATGAAACTTCGGGTTTTATAAAAATCTGAAAATTTATTGGCCACCAGAGTTTACTATAATCATCCCAAGAATTCATTAATGATTTCCTATCAAAACCAATTTTTTAATGTGACGTCACGTTTTAATGCAATCCGATTGAATCCCTTGTTATCAAATAGTAATAATTACAGAGCAATTGTTTGCTTTTATGAATTGTACTTTTTTCTTCTTTTAATCGCTTTTTAAAAGACAAGCTTATTTTTCTGTATACTTAAAAGTCTTTGGGGTCACTCGACCTAGCATTTGCCCTTTCAAAAATATCCGGTAACATTCGAATGAAACTACCGAAGTTCATGCAATCAAATAATTACATTTTCTGTGGTACTTTATCGTTCCTACCCTAAAAGAAAGGATTAACCAATAAAACACTTCCACTAACGGTGTCTTGTTCACAAAACCACCAACAAATCATAAGTGCACGGTAACACTAACATCCTCCTGAGATATCTTGTTCGCGACTGACTAATTAGTGTTCTTTTGTGACTATGGTCTGAGCGTGTCTTGTTTCAACCACCCGGTGTGCGTCCAACCTCAAGCTTCTATATCGAACGTAATTGCTTCCAGCTATCTGGCTTGCTCTCTCGAGTGGAGAGCCATACATCACCGGCTCCTAAGAGGTGAAGGTAACAATCATGTTCCTGGAGTATTGTATTAACATCGAAACCTATTGTTCGCATTTCGTTCATTTAAAAATGCTTCTATTCTAATGAGTAGAGCCCTTCTTGAAAAGATAACATGACACTCAGTTAGTCAAGATATTAACCACCTTTCATGGAATACAAACGTTCATTACAGCGTTCAATAGGCCCCGCCACCAGCCTCTTTCCTGAGACAGATCAGTTTAATCAACTACCTCAGATAATGTTTGCATTCGTGCATTATTTATAATTATATTGTTCATTCGGAAAAAATATAATGATGTCCCACTCTATTAATCAGAACATTTTGAGAGCTAGTGAATCAGATAAAACACGGGAAATAAGATGGCTGTCTTCTGGGTTGTTGCGCCGTGTAGTCAGGTAGAAGTTTACTGATGATTCAGAGGTCCTTGCCGCATCCATCGTCAGGACATCGTCCTTCTACCAGACTACAATGCGCTACAACCCAGAAGACAGTCATCTTCAAACTCCTCGCTGTGAGAACCTCAAATTCTATAAAATACGGAAAGGTACAAAAAGTTAGAGTCAACATGGAAGAATTTAGATCTTATTAACCCCTTGAAAGCGAGGCTTGTCTAAATAGTAATATTTCAGAACAAGCAGAGTGCCCGCAGGGGAAGTTCGACAAATGCTTACATTTCTTACAACTGTTGCTTACCCGAAATGTTATTGTACATCATCAAATATGTATCGTTGAATATCCCTAAACTTAGGAGTATTTGTCTTTACGGTATCGTAAACAGGAATTAGTTTCAAAGATATTCGTCAGTATTTTTCCCATTCCTTCTGCATTAATATAAATAATCTTCATCCTGAGTTTAGCTAAACCCTAAATTTGTTAAATTTTGAAATGTATTATATAACGGCAAACTTAAAAAAGTAATTACATATTCACGCGATAGAGACATTTATAAGAGTAAGTTTAAAAGTTATATTTACCATCTTTAAGGATTACTCTTGACATAAGAGAAATTAAAGTTACTTATCCTTCAAAATGCAAATTATTAATATTCTCATAATGAAAATCAAAAACACAACTTCTTTATAACAATATTAACAATAAAATGCAAAAAGCTTGAATATCTGTACATTTCCGTTCTAGTCTCTGAATGAACTTATAAACGTCCAGTGATTAAAATCAAAAGGCTTATAATATCTTAAGAGGATTACGGTAAAACAGACACATATCGTCCTATAATCAACATCTCATAAGATCTAAAACCATTTAGCATCGTTACCATGGTAATTGCTATAATAACACACACAGGCGTGACGGACATCGTTCACTACATTTTATTTAGATGCTTTCTCCAAGCGAATAATGTAACTCCAGATTAATCACCTTTTTAGTTACCGCCCGACAATCATTTCTGCCGTTAAGCGGAAGTCCACTGTGTTACTCGGTGCTAACGTCATAAGAGTTCAAGAACTTCGTATGTCTCGACAGAAAATGTGTTCCCTTGAAAGCTGTTGTCACAGTTCCATACGTGAAGGCATGTCCGTGATATGTAATTGGTATTGCATATGTGAGTTTTGTGATTGGAATGAAAACCATTCAAGGTAAACTGAGAAATTAAACATTGCTGAGGCATGACATTTTTCTTTGAACATTTCAGAGTCAGCGAGCCGGATATCAAATGAGGACCAATTTAATTCTTTCAATACATAGGCCTACACTTTGTGACAATTACTAATAACAAGTTATATAATAGAGTATTAATTTTAAGACGAACTTTTTCAAATTTCAAATTTTCTGAAATCGGAATGCGTCTTACATATAATGGCGTCAAATAATCGATGTCGAAGAAATTATATTGTATGTTTAAAGCTCAAGGAAACTCTTAATGCCATAACTCGCGGTCTTGGTCATGCCGTGGTAACTAAAACACGCGGAGATTCTAGACTCAACCACTACAGCAAATATGCAAAGTAGATAATCATGTTAAGTACCCGTTATTGTTGACAAATTGTACTAAAACTCTCCAACACAAAAAAACTTCATAAAAATTCATACAGACATATCCGATTTGTTTCATGCACAGACAGACAAACGTAATCAGCGATTTCAAGACACTCTACAGGGATTTAAATGCACATAGAAACTCACTTTAACACAAGTAAACAAGTTAACAGCAAAATTCCGAACTTATAATTATAATAACTAACATAACGGGTCAGAAACCTTTTCAGAGCACATAGACATTTAGTTAATCAAACTTTAATTTTTACAGATGCCCGCTAATGCAACTTAACCGTTGAATGTAGTTAACATCCTCCTGCCTTGTTTTAATAAATATTTTAATATTACACTCCCATCTATATCTAGATCTCATAAGTAATATTTTCCCGACTATAACTTTGTACACATTTCTCACGTCCCACATGCATGTTGATTACTCTAAAATTACAATATTTCGTGATGAAAACAACTCTACATTACATATCGTTACATAATCCTATTACTAACTCCTTGGTTGTTTAATCTTGATATAACTGTTAAAACAAATTTAATGTCTTAAAATAAATACTGTGCAAAGAATGTTACAGTATTTCGATATGTAACGAGACGAATCTATATTTATCCCTAAATATTATATAATTTATTAAATCCTTAGCACTTCAAAGCAACTTATTCACAAAAGATACGATTTACGACAGTGTTCAGTGGCGAAATAAAGTTAAGCATAGCAACACGGTTGTGACCGAGAACTTTAAGCTGTCCTCAAGCTAACTTAGGCACACCGCAGGAAATTTACGACCTGGTCGCAGTTTCATGACCTGAGGATACTTCAGTGAAACAATGAGAGTTTCTTACTGCTTAATTCAGCCGTTTAAGGTCTTTATTATTGCGTCATGTCTACCCCTTATAACAATTATCATCATGGCGACCAAATCAAAGATAAATATGCGTTTGGTGCATGTAGAGCGAATAGCAGATGAGAAAGCTGTACAAAATTATTGTTGTTTAACTTCAAACAGAAGAGGCAACATAGAAGACCTAGGTGTAGATGGAAAGGTAATATTATAAAATAATTTTACAGGGATTTAGTTTTAGAGGGTAGAAATAATTTTTTCTAACACGGGGCAGGGTCCAGTAGCGGGTTCTTCCAAACACGATAATAAACTTTTATGTTCCATATAAGTAGCGGAATTTCTTGGATACTTTTACGACCGCCAGTTTCAAAATATCCAGCTCCACAGAACTCCCTGTGATGGGCGCAGTAACGGAGTGTCACAGCAGATCCGTGTGCCTGGTTGCGGTTTCAAGGTCTCTCATAATTCATAGAGCTGAATGAACAGTACATGTTACGCATTGACACGATTCGTAGAGTCAACCATGAAGTTCTTACTGTACGGGGAAGTATGTTTTAACCCGCGCTGCAAACGGTGTAACACGCCTTGTTTTCAAGGTAACACCATTTTATAGTCTTCCTTAGTGAAAGTGATTTTCTTATAGTTCACTTTTACATTACAGCGACGGTAATATTTGTCTTATTATTGTATCTGACTGTGGTCACTTACTATTATCCTTGTAACACACAGGAATGAAAGTCAAGATTCTGGGCATACTTTTTTTGTATTATGATTTCCTCTTAGTTTTTTACATCGACTTTTTGGATACCTTCAGGCACATTGTTCTGGTTTTCAACTTCAGAAACATTTTTCCGCCATTGCTAAGGAAGGAATTATATTCAATCGGCTTAGGTATTATTGGATCATAAGTTAAGGTCAGATCTAGACCTTGAAAACTTTACGGTGGGGTGTGTAGAGGTATATAAAAGGCGTGGACCGTTTTGCATTTCAGCATCAGTCCACAGCAGATCACAGCACCTGTAACAAGCACCCACAAACCAAGAAACAATGGCTTTCAGTCAGGTAAGCTTCAGTCAATTAACAGGTTTAAATTATAAATAATTCAGAGAAGAAAAAAATTCATTTTTGTAGAAATGCCTGGTACGGTTTAACTCAATCATAACATCGAGTTATAATCTCGATAAGACCTTATCAAAATGCGATAGAAAATACGTGATCAGGAAGCCTTTGCCTACTATATCTTGCTATCCACATTTATACTTACAAGACTTAAAGTCAATATTATAATTTTCGTTGCTAATTGTACTAGATATAAATTCAAAATTATGTTTGCGTCTAAGCATCACGCCATAGGGGAGCTGGGATAAACTTCCACAATTCTGAGTCCTGAACTACTCGGTCCGACCGTTAATTTAAGCAGTTATAATTTTATTGCAAAATGCAGGCAATTGCTATTACGGTTAGGATTCAAAACGAAGTACATAAATATCAAATTTGCGGATCAGATTTCTTCGTGACTCTCCCATCCATACTACTTATTTTTACCCCATCAAGAAAAGGGCGCTAAAACAAATGTTTGGTTATAAGAGGGATGGAGTAACAGAAGACATTCACATCCCATCATTGCAACTGGAAACCTATTTAAACCAACAATAATTAAAAGTAGAGATTTCTTTTGTGTTCCCTTTATTTTAAATAGTATCACGAAACACGTCATCTATCCAATATTTTGTTTAAAAGTGGATAACGAGAGCGGGGGTTGGATGAGGTAAAATGCGAAATGATTAACGATGTTCAAAATCACGCCGAAATTGTTACTGTCATTTGTCAAACGTGGATTTTGAACGGCTAACCGCAGAGAACACCATGAGGGCAACATAACTAATATGTACACACTGATATATGTGAAAATCTCTTACAGATAAAAAATTGTACAACATTGTATGAAGGATGTAGATTAATTACTGATTGTAGAGTGACATAATTAAATGATAACGCTGAAAGCAATGTTCTGTAACCATCAGGATATTTTAAATTTAACTCCGCAAGAATTCATTGACTATTTCTTACAAAAGCCATAAATTTTCTAGACGTATGGTCTGTTCATATGAAATTCGTGGCTCAATCCACTGTCGGGGTCCGTTGTTCTGTTGAAGTCCTTCTATGCGTTTCAACGTTCATTACGAACTAATGCAACAATAATTTCAGAAATCTTAGGGGTAAAGTCTGGGAAGTTAAAATCTGAAACTATCACTTCATATTCCTCATAAATGAAGTCAGATACTCGATACATAATTCGCAAACATGTCTCGAAATTTCTTTCATAGTCGTAGTTAGGAAATGCTCTTATAGCTAAATCTTTCTGGAACCCTTTTCAATGCATTTAATAGTACGTACTCTGTTTGCCTATTCGATGCATTTACATTTAATTCCAACTTAGTATTTTCATACTTGTTTCATTCACTTTCATAACGTCTTTAATATTTCTTGAAATAACTCACTTCGGCTACTGTCTCCACTCCTACCTTTTATTCTCGAGGACCCACTTACTTTTAATTCCATATACTGAGGTTTGATTGTGCATTTATACTATCTTCCTACTCACACCTTTGCTGCTATACTTTACAGCACCTATGAATTAAGCAGGCCCGCAAATGTAAAGCAGCTGAGAATTTACTTCGATTAATACTGAGGACTGGGAGAACTCTCACGTATTAATTCGGTTGAAGAAATTATCCAAATGGATGATTTGAGGTTTTCACAGCGCCGTGTAGTATGGTAGATGTTTAGATCTACCATACTACACGGCGCAACAACCCAGAAGACAGAAATCTTCATACCCTAATGGAATCCGAAAGTTAATTACTGTGTCAAAAGACCTAGCCACCAGACCCAATACTAATCCATGTGAATGCATTCCACATCCCCACATCCATTTTTAAGTTATCGTCCCATATTTGAGTTCCACGGTTATGTTACAGATTGTCGCCGTCGTGTGCGTGGCTTTTGCCGTAGCTGAAGCCAGTGTGATCGCCGGATACGGCGGTTACGGCATTGCTGGACTGGGTCATGATGCTCTTGGACTGGGTCATGCGGGTTTGGGACTGGGTCATGCGGGACTGGGCTACGGTGTCGCCCCCGTGGCAGCTGTGGCCCCCGCTATCGCCGCTCCTCACGCCGTAGCAGTTGCAGCTCCTCATGCCGCTGTGGACTATTATGTAAGTGTAGCACAGAGGGCTGGCCCCTGCGCAACAGATTATGCGCAGAAGACGGGGCAATATCTTGCGTCCGTTATGATTCCAGGGAATTCGGTTCAATACGCAGTCAACTGTTTGGCTCTGAATGCCACCATTCTTACAAATACAAGTAGCGGAATTTACTTCATGACTGTTCCAATCTCAGAAGTTAGATGGTCAGATGTCAATAATAATCCATATGGATTCTTTCAGGCTTACCCCAAATACTCATACAACTACGGAGTTGCCGACGGTTTGACCGGTGATGTCAAGTCCCAGGCCGAGCATCGTGACGGAGACCTCGTTAAGGGACAATACAGCCTGGTGGAACCCGACGGCACTCTGCGCGTTGTGGACTACACCGCTGACGCAGTCAATGGTTTCAACGCCGTTGTCTCCAAGCATGGTCATGCCATCCACCCATCCCCTGCAGTGGCTCACCTCGGCTACCATGGCAAATAAGCGGGTCACATGACAAGCAACCACCGCATTTATGACAGCAACGCGCCCAACATAACATGCCCACTATCGCTTTATAACAACCAATCTTGAAATCATCGCAAACTTATTATATATTATTATCATAATTTAAATATCCTGTATAGTGCAATATTTTATGCAATAAAAATCGTTTTTTATTAATGACTATCTCTCATTTCTTGAGACATTTACACCAGCAACGCTATTCCATTTCAAAGCTAATTAGACACTCATTTGTCTTAGCGTCTCACAGAATGGAGATGAAAGATGCTTAGTGCGGTACGATCTACGCATTCTCTGTGTAGTACTACCGGCAAAACGTTTCTCTGATGCGTGCACAATATGAGCAGTGTTTAAGTATAACAGTGGACTCAGCACTTCCGCGCAGAAGATGTTATGAACGGCGACTACCTGATTTGCCTTCCCGTTGCATAAACCAATCCGTGACGAACCGAAATTACTACTGTGGACTGTAGATGCCAAGTAAACTTATTTGGACAGCACTAAACTTGTGACCTGTTCCGATAACTGGCATACAATGCATATTCATAGTGATGGAGGTTGTTTTAGCACTTATGGGACACTCTGTATATTCCTTATTTATAACAGCTTGTAGAAATACAACAACGCAACAAACTTGATTGTTACGTGACAAGGCTGCGAAATTCGTTACTATGATTACTTTGGGCCCGTTAGCCGCAGCAGTTCCTTGGAGACGTAGAATCACTCTCACCATAACAATGAATAAGAAATACACATCGGGTAGACCTAGATGAAGAAGCAGAGATTGGTTCACGTAAAACATTAACTTGCTTTGGAACGGTCAACGAGAAGTGTGGGGTGACGTTTTTGAATTATGTTATGTCACTTCCTTCAGACACAAGATCACACATATACAATGTCCCCTCAGTGAAAGTAGTATTATAACGCAACAGAGGTCTACGATTCACTTGAGAGAGTTTCCAGTTGCCTGTTACTTACGACTTATTACGTATAATTCATAAAAGTTGATTGAATTAAGTACACGTGAGACAGAATACAATTCGCTATCCTGGAAGTGGCTCAAGACTTTTTACACGTGACGCAATAAACGTATAATACAAAAATAGAACTTTAAAATGTTTACGGGGTTACTTATGTTGTAAGGTGATGAAACGTAAGCCTACAAAACTACAAAAAACAGCAGTTAATGACGCGTTTGGTTACTACCTTGACATTTATGTAGCGTTTGCCTTTGTGTTAAAAAAGGCACAACCTGATATTATAAGTGAATGTACGATAATTAATGTTTGTAAGAAGTAATTCGTATTTCACGACTTCCGGTGGTTTTGCCAAATTTTACCTCCTTCATAATCCCAACCAAATTTCTTAACCCTCGTGGAATTCTAATATCTTGGTCTGCCAGCTGGTTCCCCACATTTCATGGTCTCTGTCTTTCCTCTGAATGTTTATTATCGTGGCTCACAACAACCCGAGAATAGTCAAATCTTGTGCTAATTGAATTTAGTCAAAATAAAGATCTGTTTCTACACCAAATTTAATAATATCCTCTCATATAAATCGAATAAATCTCTTATCAGCCTTTAAGTTTAAATTTTGTTTGGTTTTAATATATCTGCCATGTGTGTTATATGCTTCACCCATCTTTTATTTTATTTAACTTTTGTTATAAAATAATGTTGTATAATTTACAGAACGGATTTTTTTTTTAAATTTCTTCATACCACAAAACCTTGGCATGGAACATCGCTTTAATAAATTATTTAAATTTAGATCTGTAGACTTACATGTCCGGCACACATTTGTTTATTTTTAAGTCGACTTCTCTGTTGGATTCAATTTTTTACGCATGCACAGAGCTAATTTCATGCGGTGGGGGGATGATTAATTTTTCTGGGAATTACATACATTGATGAGTTCACACAGTGTTGGTGGATGTCACTCGCGCAATCTGAGAACTTAACATAACTTTAATGAATCCTGTCAAAACGTGCATTGTCTCAATGCCTTCCCAACACAAGCAACTCGAATTACATACGTTGTGGTACGTATGTGACTCGGGATGTTGTTATTTCCGTTCGTATGAACACACATACAAAGAATTTGAGAATTTTATCACGTTCTATATAATAATTCGTGAACGGGGAAGTCGTGAGAAAATCATCATGGGAAAAATAACACTGGTTGTAACTGAAATGTCGTAAGAGGAAATATGTTTAGGTTTACTTTGAAAACATAGCAGTGGTTAAATTTTATTGGCATAATTTTGGCGTATTCAAAGACACTTTCAACTTAATCATTAAGTTCACAAAATTACTCAAATCCACGAAAATCACTTCCAACGAAACTTTAAAAAAATCCTTGATTTATTAATTTCCAAGAATATTTGTGCAAGTATCTAATTCATTGATGTATTTGTTTCTTACCAACATCTTTTGCGTTTCGTGTAATAAGCTACACTTACTATTGGAATTATGCTATTTAAAAGCACCCTCAGAATACTGAAGAAAGATGAATGACTTTTATGGTAACATGTCTTATCCACGTATGCAGTGGCACACATAACTTGCCGTGGGCTTCAGTGGGTCCTTCATGGTCAAAACCTAATTAAAACCCAGTAGTAAAATAACATGTGTCCAGGACTCATGTCGCTTTTGCGTGAAATATTACAAGCATATTGCCCTGGTATTTGCAAACAGAACTGAGATAATTCATGAAAAAACTCAACAAGATAGCCGGTTTCAGGGCCCATGACCAACCATTACAAGAGACAGGAATGCTGACCAATTAACTATAATAGCAGTCACTTAATTTTCGAACGGCTGTACCAAACTCTACATCATTACTTGCAGTGTTAGAGCTGAAGTTGAACAATTAAGTAAAATCCGATAAGGAGAGCATGTCTTCTGAGCGATAACACATCCCTACATATAGCAGGTACTATTAAATTTATCTATCCTATTCGAAATCCTGGCAGGGAATTTCCGTCAATTTCTTCATTCTCTTTTAGCGGTGTTGTATCCTCGTGTAAGATTGCAAGATTTCACGGAGAATGAAAGCTTTTATGTCTTCTCACTATCTCATTCGTCTGTAAGAGGGTTTTTGCCTCTCGTCCAGCAATAGGGTTGATTTTATGATTACACAGATGTACGCGTATTTGTACCAACACTGATGATGGAGGAGGAAACAGTGCCCAAACGTTGGATCACAACTCCATTCTGATCTCCCGAGAAGACTTCATTGCTTATTTAGCACGAAGTCTAAGATCTCCAAATATATTCGCCGATCATCAACTTCCGAACTCATTCTCAAGTAATTTCTGCAGTTGAAACAGCGTAATTAAATTATGTAACAATAACTATTGCCTTGAATAGGATCTATGGCATTAACATGCATTGTATAAAACCTGCTGGTTTGGCTATCAGCTAGCTAGTGTAAAACTAGAAACATAAGATAGCTTACAAGTTTCTGGTTTACTTGGAAAAGCAATCACAGAGGCATAATGCATGGGAGAGATCGGAAAAGCGAATAAATGTTTGTCAAAAAAAGGAGAACGAAACTTATTACTTGTGATATATAATCTTAGATATGACGATAATATTAAAATGTATTAAGAAGAAACAGGATGTGAACATATGATAAAACCAGAAGCGGATTCTTTTGAAAAGATTAATAAAACTCATGGTTCTGTAGAAGGTGGGAAATTTCTTTACTGGGTGAGAACAACTATCAACTTCTCAAGGAGGAATTACATAATGTTATATCGAGTCGAGTTTAGTGCTCAAGATGGCTGTCATCTGGGTTGCTGCGCCGTGTAGTCTGGTAGAAATTTACCAACTTTTCAGAACTCCTTGCTGCCTCCATCATCAGGGCGCCCTGATGATGGAGGCAGCAAGGACCTTTGAAACATCGGTAAACTCCTACCCGACTACACGG